CACCCTGATTCTTTCCCCAGTTTACACCTTCTAATACAACAGGGACCCAATGGCTGCTGTTTTTCTGTTACTAGCTATGCTCCCCAAAGTTATAAGCCTACCCTTACTTCTCATTCTTCCTGGGAATATATAAAAGACTTCTATTGTCTTGAGTATTTTCCACCAGCCTCAGCATATTCTGGACACTGGACTTCCTGACACTCCTCTTAAGGGGTCAGACCACCCTTGAATCTGCCTTCAGTGATACCCACCCCCTTTCCACATAAGGAGCATCTGTACTCTAGACGGCATGCAGCCACAGGGATGGTTCAGCTCTTCCCCAGTCCCACCATCTTCCTCCTTACTGCACCACTCTGGACTGTTCTGTCAGCATTTCCGTTTTTTAAAAAGCAATCCTATCCTTCCAGCTAACTTCCCTTTTAGAGTCTGTGGTCATGATGTCAAAAACTGTTTGCATTTGAAAAACAATGTCTAAAGTCTGTAGTTCATACCTCTCCTTGCCAGGCCTTCTCTTTGGTTCTCTAAACTGTAGGATGAGAGCCCTTTCTCTAGAGAGTCTCAGCGTTTCTACTTTGGCCATCAGTCCTCCTCTGGTGGTGGGAACTAATGCCTGAAAGCTTCCCTCCCCACAGCCTCTAACTTCAGGAAGACAGGGCTACTGGCAGATAAGGCAAGAATTCTTCAGGCATTCTGACATTATTGAGAGACCCCCAGTTTCAAGTTATGTCTCAAATCTGGCATTGAGATCTGTTTCAGATACTAACCCCACTTGGATGGGGGTTAAACAGTGTTCTCACACCATATATGCACCTATTTCTCTTCATTTTTCATCCACATTGTTCTCAGTCATGCTTCCAACCTTACACAAACATTTTTTAATGCAGTTTTTCCCCCGATAGTTATTCTCCTACCTTCCATATCAGATATTCACTTCTCTCATGAGCAACATTGGTCCTGGGTGTCCAGCCATCTCCCCCAGCAAAGAGGCTGGCAATCTCCTCCCACCCTCTTCCTGGCCCTGGGGTCACATTTCTTCTTTGAGCAAGCTAGGGATAGTCTTGAGATAAACATTTAATTTGTATTACATCTTTACAGTTATAACTCAGAGGCTAACTAATGTACAATTGTTTATGCACAAAGGTTAATTCTTTTTTAGATGTTCTAGGAATGTGTTTCTCCCTGCACTGATTGCCTACTATGTGCGAGACATTATGCATATTTTAATCTCAATGAATTCTCCCCACAACCCTACAGAGAAGAGTTACCTCAGGTGACAAATGAGAAAACGGTGCTCAGAGGAGTAAGCCGCACAGTGCTTACATTGGGGTCTGAGGCCTGCTGTGTCTCCATATCCACCAATTCTACTTTTCTAATCAGCCCTTTCACTGTGCTACAAGCCAGCACTCAGGTAAAAAGAGTGTGAAATAAAACAGCCTCACACATCACCCTGGGATCTAAATCCTTCCTAGAAGTAGGAAGGAAGACCACAGAGCAAGAAGGAACCCCTTCAGGTGTATGACTCGATTTAAGTCCCAGAGAGGCAGTCACCTGGTTCCATGGCAGGAGGGCCCATCCCTGAGAGCTGTCTCTAGTCTTAAAATGGTGAACTTCTTTTCTGAGTAGAGAGGTTCCACCTTCTCCCCCACCCCACATACTGCAGAAAAGGGTGAGGAGCAGAAAAGGAAGCTGGGAAACCCAAGATAATGCCACTCTCCGTTACAGGATGATAAAGCAGCTCACAGCGGACAGCTCAAAGGAAGCCCCAGAGGAAGCTGGGAGAAGTGGAGACAGGATGGAAGTAAGGAAAGAGTGCCCAGAATAGGAAACGCCAGGCAGCAGGAATGCAGGAGGACACTTTGATTCCTGAGAGACTTCTGGATGGTGCGTCTTGCCCCACCTGAAGAGTCAGAGCCAAAGTCTAAAATTCTATTCCTGAGCTGAAACCAAATGAAACTCAGATGCCAGTAACACGTCTCCCTAACCTCCCCAACCTCAGAACGTGTTCCCTCCGCTAAGAGATGCTTAGATCTAATGGTTAAGGTCCCAGCAGTCCCCTTGGGGGTGGTAAATGCTGGGCTGGTTCTCAGAGCTCATTCTCTCAGGCAGAGCCTCCAGGGCAGGTGGGTGTGTCTCGCTCAGCTCCAGGACCATGCTTGGAGGTACATTCATTAAACGTGATATAGCCTGGACAGGGTTCCTGTGCTGTCAGCGTTCATGAACAGGAAAAAAAAATTATGGAGACACACAGCAGTTACCATTTTGTATTTTATGAATTAAAGATTAAAAAAATAAATGAACCTACTTTTTATCAACACCTTCATTTAATTAAAGAAGGCACATTTTAAACATTAAGTAGAAAGGACCTATCCTTAAAACAAAGTACTCCTCTTTAGGGCAAAGTTAGCTTTAAGAAAAAGCTCACTCCATTGTCCCCTTCCCTTTGTTTCTCCAGAAACTGGGAGAACTCTACTTGGGCCAGCACTGGTCACACACCAGAGTGTGGCTTTTCTGTTCTGGGACATCACAGGGACACAAGTCACAAGCCGGACATCCCCTGACCATGGGGGACTGGAAGGACCTTCCACAGGGGCACAGACATCTCTCAGCAGGGCTGTTTCTAAGCTTCAGCCAACCCAGACCCCTGATATCTCAGTCATGACCACCTGGCAGTCCAAGGCAACAGCTTACACACAAGGAGGACAGGACCCTGGCCTCACTCCTAGCCCCTTTCACTCAGATATGCTTCAGTGTTGCAGAAAGAAGAGCTTAAACATGGTTCATAAGGACCACTTGGTTCCAGGAACATCCAGCCCAAAAATCTCAGCACCCCCTAACCCCCCAGTTTGGTTATGAGAGGAATGGAGTGAGGGAGTGAGACAAAGGGGGTTGGGGAAGGGGGTGACTGCCAGAAGGAAGCAAGCAAAGAAAGCAAGCTTTACAAAGCAAACTGGGCAGATCTTTCTTATACCAAATCACCAGATCTCATGCCCAGGAGTAAGGCCTATACCTGATTCCACCCCCTTTCAGAAATGACCCATGGGGCACAGGGCCAGCAGATGCCAACTCCCGCCAACAACAGCACCAAAGGGCTGGACATGGTCTCCCAGGCTGCAGATGTGATCCAGATGTCTGCTTTAACCAGAGACCAGGAAATAGGGCACCGAGTCTGTGGTCCTGGGCCATGACATACAGCTTCTGCCAGTAGTGGACATGAGAAGGTGAAAAGGGGCAGAATATCCCAGCAACACACACTTCACTGCCCCCGACACTTGTATCTTTCTTGCGAGCCACAGGACCACAGCCCCACCAAGCTTATGGCACAGCTCTGCCCTCAGCAGTCAGGGAAATCCTGAGCGCCAGCTGCCAGCCCATCAAAGCCACAGGTGCCCGAGCCCTCAGAAACACGGCAGCTCACAGCCCAGCTGGAAAGGGCTTTAAAGGCCATCAGGCACAGCCCCCTGTCCCCCTCCACCATTTCCCCAAGGAGAAGACAGGCCCAGGGAGTTGTCAGAGCCTCCGATAAATCAGTGGCAGAGCGGGGGAGCCCCACAGCCAGCGCAGGCCTCCGTCTCTGTCCAGCGCCGGTTCCGCTGCCTGGAGCGACCTCAGCCGCTACACCGCTCCTCCCAAGCTGCTTGACTTCGCTCATCCTTACTCCTGCCAACTCTCCGCTGTCGTGGCTGCCACCACCCTTGTGCTGGCAGCCAGCCACCAGAATGGAAGGGAGAGATGGCCAGTGCAGGGTCACTGCCTCTCCCTTCCCCACTTTGCTCTAATCCCAACTCCTCCTTTTGTCTCTCCATCCCCCTACTTGGTATAAATGGAGTACTCCCTAGCGATGACAGTGTCTCAAAAGCACATCATTCATTCATTCAATTAGTATCTGAGTGTGTACTACACTCCAGGGAACTGAGCCAGGTCCTGAGAACACAGAGCTCAAAAACTGCTTTTGACCTCAAGAAGTACTAAATCCAGTCATAGAACCCAAATTACGGGTTTCTCAACTGGTTCTCCTGAGAAAAACAATGACACCCAACAAAAGATTTGGAGAAAGAAACATCCCAGTCCATTAGGGTAGCATAAAACCACTCTGTCACTTGAAATCATCCCTTACCTGACACCTTCACTCACTATGTCATCCAAGCATCAGTGTGACCCTAAAATACATCTGAGGCTTCAAGCAGGACAAGAAACTTCCAGAGATAAAACTGGATACATCCTCTATTAGATGGGAACATCAGAGACGAAAAGACTAGCTCAGAGCCCCGTGACCCAGTTACTCTCTTACAAATTGTCAGCTTCCAATGACAATTACACTCCTATTCATGGCCCCACTCAAAGTTGGACCAGGAGGACCAGAATGGGAGCATAGGCTTAACTGTCTTTCACAAGACGCTTGTGAGTACAGCATCCTCATGGAAGGGCAGAGTTGCCCAGCAAGGGCCAGCTTACCTCCTTGAGGAGCCCCGCTTTCTTCTTCAGGACCTCACACTTACGCAGTTTGCAGATCTGGTGCGTGCGGCGGTTGGTACAGCTGGTACACGCCCCGCAGTTTTCTAGCCGCCGGCAGGGCTCACAAGCACCACACCTCTTCCGTTTCTTTCTCCCATCTCCACTCCCTTGGAGTTGGAGTTCACTCCCAGCCATGGGGAGCCCAGGCCCCTGGAAGCCCCCTACCATCACCTGGCTCTGAGGGAAGTCATAAAGGCCTGGCAGGTCTGACTGGACTGCCAGGGGCACCTGAAACTGGCTCATGACAAGGCCAGAGGTGGGGGCATAGGTGTCAGAGTAGAGCCACAGCCCAGCTGCCTTCCTGCCAAGGCCACCAACAGCTCCTTCTCTCTTAAAACAGTCAAGAATCTTCACCCTTCACCAAGGGTGAAGGCAGGTAGCTCCTCTCCAGGGTGGGTGCCTTTTCTCAACCCTTCTTCACCTTCTCTGCAGCAGTCTGATAGGGCTCCGTTGGGGGCCACTCTCCCACCTGCTGGGGCCCAAGATCTCGGGGAGGACACCAGCAGCAGTCCCCAGAAGAGGGATCATCTTGGCTGGGTGGGTTCTTCACCCTCGCCCACCTTGGACGCAGGCATGAGGTGAGCAAGTGGGTGTGTGGTGGGGGCAGGGTGGGGTGAGGAGTTTCTCTTCCTGGTACTTCTCCAGGGTCAGGATGATGGAGAAGGCAGAGCTGCCTGAAAAAAGAGACAGAAAGGGGAAGCGCATCACTCGGCGCTCAGGGACAACTTTCACATGTTACCTCTTCCTGCTTCTGGGAAAAGAGAAAACGGGGGAAGAGCAGGGGTTTGCTCAAATGAAGCTCTGCCCAGGACCTCTGGCAGGGTGCCCGGGTACCAGCTCCCTTACTGAGGAAGGAGGCCTAGGGTCCAGAGAACCTGGACGACCAATTTAAGAGTGTGGTCAAGGGAGATGTTTAAGAAAGTTGTCCTCTGCTCCACCCCCAGGGCTAGGGAGAGTTTCACCAAAATTCCCACACACACCACTCGGCGGAGGCCTCTGGGCCCTCCCCAAGGAAGCTGAGCTTTCAAAATAAAGTTTGCCGAGCGCTTCACCCCGCGGGACTGCCGGGGCGCCCTCGACACGGAAGCGGCCTGGAGTGGGGGCGCGCCCAGGGCAGCCAGCGCCGGCTACCCCGACGCGCCCCGCGCCCGCAGGCCAGCCGGGGGAGGGCGGCCCGCTCCGCCGAGGGGGCGCGGGGAGGGGGCGCGCTCCGGCTCGGGCCGGGCCGCGCGCGCGCCGCCGCTCGGGCTCCTTTGTTCTGGGGCCTCGGCCGCTCGGCTCCGGCGGCCCCGCAGCCCCCGCCCCGCCCGCCGCCCCCGCCCGGCTCCGTGACACTGTGACCCGCAGCCCCCTCCGCCACAAAGTGGCGGCCCCCCCGGCCGGCCCCCCAGGCCCTCCCCTCCCCCCAGGCCGGGCCCCCCACGCCTCCCGCCGCCCCTCCCCCACTCCGGAGCCGGAAAGGCACCGACTGCACCGACCTGCCCGCCGCCTCCGGGGCGGAGCGCACAAAGGGGCAAAGTTTCCCGGCCCGCGCCGCCGCCACCACCGTCGCGGCCGCCGCCGCCGCCTGGGGCGCCCGCCTCCCGGAGCGCCCGGCCCGGTCGAGCTCGGCTCGCGGAGCCCCCCGCCCGGGCCGAGGAGGGGACGGCGCAGGAGGAAGGAAGAGGCAGCGGCGGCCGCGGCGGAGAAGCAGCAGCAATGAAGGCGTCCGCGGGACTCCCCGCCCCCCGCGCGCCGCGGCACGTGCTCGCCCGGGGACTCCCCCGCCCGGGAGGGCGCGCACGTGCGGCCCCGCCGAGCCCCGCCGGCCCCACCGCCGCTCCCTGTGCCGGGTCCGGGGCTGCGCGAGGGGGGTAGTTCTCGCGGCGGGCAGGGCGCGAAGCGGGCGGCCCGCAAGCGGGTGGCGGCAGGGCCCGGCCCGGCCGCCGCTCCTTTGCACCTGCAGTACCTCCCTACCCCCGCGGTCGGCCCTCCCAGGACCCGGCCACCCCCTTTGGACTAGAGGCTCCCGCCCTCCACGCTTCTGCAGCCCCGGCGGGCGAGGCGGGCCGCGCGGGGTGGGGCACACGGACCTCCCAGCCTAGGCCCTCGGCCGAGCCGGCCTCGGTGTCCCCGCTTCCTGCCACTCCCTGCGGGCCCGAGCGGTCTAGGACGGCCCTGGCGTCCCCGGGAGCCCTGAGCTCCGGGCCTGACTGACCCCATCTCCCAGCTGCCACTCGCTCATTCCGAGGCAGGACAATGGGGGACATCACGCGTTTGCGTACCGAGTCAGCCTAGCCCGCGCGGAGGGGGTACCGGGGGCAGAAGCCGCGGGCCGGCTGTGGGGCACCCTCGCGGGGGTCACGGCCGAGCACTGAGCCCAGGAGGACCCCAGGGTCCTGCCATTGCGAGCGTTCCCCGCGCGGCGCTCGGCTCTTTTTCGCCTCGAAAACAAAGACTAATCCGATACCCCCGCCCTGCCTCCCAGAGGAGGGGAAACGGGCGCGTCGCGGAGGGTAACCGAGGAGGACAGTGTTCAGGAGGGGCTCTGACAACCTCCGATGGGGCCATGGCGCAACCGAGCCCTATAACCCGGCGCAGACACTTTAAAAAGTCACCCGGGGCTACTTGCCAGGCAGCGGACAAGGGGCAAGGCACAAGAATATTTCTAAGTTGCCAAACTGCCTGCTCTCTGCTGCTTTTTTCCCTCACCTGTTGTGCGGGCCAAATTGAAATTCCAGGCTAGATTAATTCAGCTCCACCCATCTGGCCTGACTGCCAGGCTGGTGCCCGCAGCTGCCTTCCACCTACCTGGTTACTGAGAAGGGTGGGTCTCTAACACACACAGACACACACACACACACACAGACACACACACACAGACACGCACACACGGGCAAGTTCTGGCAGAAACAACTATGGGGTGGACTGGCCTGACCAGTTTGGACGGTGCTCACAGAGCCAGGTACCTGGCAGGCATCCCCGCCCGGCTGGAGCTAACAACTCAGCCAGCACTGGAAAAAGAGCATTCGGCCGGCTATTTAGAAGCAGAAAAAAAAAGGTAACTGATCTCAAGTAGCGCTGTCCAGAACGCCCTAGGCGGTCGGAGAAGCCCAGCTCTGTCTGGAACTTCCCTCTTCGCAGGCCTGATTTTGAGGCCAGGTGTGGGGGTCGGTGAACATGGCCACAGTACCTAACTTCCTACCCTGGCCTTTGACAGGACTGAAGAGTTGTTCTTCAGGAAAGTAAGTCTAGGACCAAGAAGAGACACCAAAAGAGTGTAATTTCCAACCAACCATCAAAACACGGTGTGGACTTGTATTTGTTGTCAGTCTAATAAATGCTTGTTTTAAATAATTTTATTTTTAATAAAAATTATATATATTAAAGAAAATGAAGAAACAGAGAATTAGAAGACAAACATCACCCAAAGGCAACCACAGTTAATCATTTGCTATATTTCTGTCTAGCTTTTTCTATCTGTAGTTATTTCTTTTTTATAACATAGTTGTACTCACACTGATAGTGCAATTTGCTATCCTCTTTTCATTTAATATTCTGCCATAAGCATTTCCCTTTTTGTTATACAATCTCCAGATAGTGTGAAAATGGGGTAATAAAGGTAGCTTAAAAACCAGAAAGCTGGGTTCCAGGCCTGGCTCTGTCACTTGCTACAGAGTGACCTTGGACAAGGTACTCACCATCTCTGAGAGATACGAGTAAAGTGCTTAACATGGGATTTAACTGACAACAATTATTGTTTAATCCATAGAACAACCTTCTGAGGTAGGTTCCCTCATTAAATGCATTTTACAGATGAAGAAACAGATTCTAAATAACTTGCTCAAGGTCACTCCCTACAAAATTGTAGACTCGGAATTTGAGCCCGGCATCTTTCCTCCTGTATTTTGTCCTGGAATGGCACCCACGATTTATGGTGCTACTTTACTCTTCACCAGCTGTCTATGAGACATTTCATAAACCCTCTGGCTTAGGTAAGTAGGTGAATGCTGGTGCCACCCACCGGAGTACAGGAGGAAAGATATCTGGGGACATCCTTGTGGAGGCAAGGAGCTGAGGGGTGAGGCCTGGGCTAGAAACATCCCTGGGCCCCATCAGTGAGTAGACGGTTAAGTGAGACTTTGGGTATACAGGAGTTCATAGGGAATGGGAGGACATGGAGAGTGAGAGTAACAGGCAGCAAGGACAGAGCCCTGTGGGAGCAGCAGCTCAGGAGGGACAGCAGCTGACAAGGGGCCAGCAGGAGAGACAGAGGAGCCACCGGAGAAGGAGGGGAACCAGGTCCAGGCCTGACACCTGCCTGTCAAGTCTTCCCAAATGCTTCCCTGTCTGGAACGTTGCACTTGGACAGTCTTGTAGCTCATTCCTCCATCCTAGGGAATCTCTTCCCACTTCACCTCCTCCCAGCTACCCCTTCTACCTGTCAAATTCCCACTCATCCTGCATGTCTCAGCATAAATACCAGTTCTTCCATGAAACCTTTTCCAGCTTCTGGGAAGGATTCCTGAGCCCCACCCACCCTCCTTCCACAGAAGTCTGACATGCCATACCTTTGGAACAGTTATCTTATTGGCATTGTAATTGTTTGCACATTGCCCTCCCGTTACCAGAAGCTCTGGAGGGCTGAGGCATGGTCTTTTTACCTTTGTAACCCTAGGCCTAATACCCAATCCATCGGTGTTGAATGAAGAAAGGTCAGAAACTGATCAATGAAATATCCCAGGATCACTAAAGACACACAGGCCTCCAGGGTTTTTTCCTGCCTGCTTTCCTATCTGCGCAAACTCTTCAGGGGCCTCCAAGATAAAGTCCAAATTCCTCAAGCCCTGCTTGACCGGTCTGCAGCCACCCGCGCTGCCGGGTTATTCCCTAAACGCTCAGGGCAGGAGAGCGACAGGGGCCGCGCGGTGGTGCTGGTGCCGAGCGAGCCTCTCTGGGAGCGGCATTAAGCTAGAGGCAGTCTTTCGTCAACTGTGGTCCTGGGACGAAGCATCACCGACACCTGGGAACTTGTTCGAGACGCAAACTGTCGGGCCCCACCCTGGACCTACTCAAGCAGTAACTCTGGGGGTGTGGCCCAGCGCTCCGTTTTAACAAGCTCTTTAGGTGACGCACGCTCAAGGTGGAGAAGCCCTAGACTAGTGGACGCTGTCGGAGAAGCAAGTTCCAGCACCTAGGCGACGGCCAGAATCAGGCCCGTAGACGGGAGGGAGGCTCCTTTTATAAACCGGCGTGGCGGCCAAGAGCTGAGCCCTTTAGGCCACTACTCCGGTGAGGTCAGGACCAGGCTGAGCAGCTGGCCCAAGGACTAGAAAGGGAAATCCCGTCGGTGCGAGGGGAACTGCAGGCGCTACAGGCTGGACAAGGGGCGTTTCCTTGCATCGGGATGGAGGTGGGGCTGGGGAATGAGAAGGGCTCCAGCTCCATTGATGAATAGCGGTTGACTCAGCCTTGGGCGAAGGGCACAGAAGTGTAATTAGATGAGCGCGTGCGCAGAAAGTCACCGCGTGGAACCAACACTGCTGGATGTTTTCCGAACCTGCAAATAAGTGAATGTTTCTAACCTCGTCTGAGGTGTTTGACCCCCCCCTTCCTCTCTTTAGCTAATAAGCAATCCTCAGTATTTGAAGAATGAGCTTTGTACTATCGGACCTGTTACAGAAATGTAAACATACATCCAAGTCCACACCTGGGCTTGGTTTTAAAGGTTGAACGCATTGGGAAGTTTATTTGATTTGGGATGTGTTTCTTCTTTGGTCATGAATGGGTTAAAAATACTAACCGCTAATATTTGTATAGAGCTTTCCCTTTTCAAAGCACTTCCACACACATATTATCATTCTCTTCGTACACAGTGGCTAATACACCAAATGTGCAAATGTTACTTTCCTTTTCTTTCTATGGCAGCTTTTATTATTATTATCACCATTTTACAGATAAGGGAACTGGGACTCAGAGAGGTAATTTGTCCAAGGTCACTCACTACTAAGTGGTAAAACTAGGCTTATAGTCCAGGACTTCTGAAATTAGCCTACCAGTGCCAGGGCTGATACAGGGCAGAAGTTGGCATTTTGGTCTTGAGGAAAGGGAGAGTCATTAGTGGATTGCTTTTGGACATGCGTTAATGTGATGTGGGTAAGGCATGTTGAGCTTCTGAATAGCTCAGCCAATGCATTCATGTATTATAACGATTTCTGTGACTTCATTTTGAATTTAGGTTGGATCAAATAGATCGTATAACTTATAGGGAGAATGCAAGGGTCTCCATCATGAGAAAGGATGAAATAACCTGGTAACCTTCTAACGTAAAGGGGCTTGGCAGGAGAATGGGAGCTTTGATTGGCTCAGAGACTAAAGCTGCTGAATACCAAACAGGGATGAAGGCCCTGGTGCCCCCAAACCTTGATTTGACTGCAGGTAGCAGTCAGGATCAGTTAGGTTGTGCTACAGTAACAAACAATCCCCAGATCTCAGTGGTTTGACTTAACACAATTTTATTTCTCTATCATGAAATATGCTCATTGTGGGTCAACAGGAGCTCTGTTTTCCATGGATACTTAGAGATGCCAGCTGCTTTAACTGGACTTATTGCCTGCTGAAGCATGAAAGCAGGAAATAAGGATGGGGCACGTCAAGCACTGTCCCTTAAAGCATTTACCTGGCAGTGACACACATCACTTATACCCTCATTTCACTGGCCAAAACAAGTCACAAGGTTGCAGGGAAGTGCAAGAGGAGCAAAGCTCCCATGTGCCTTGAAGGAGAAGCAAAAAACATCTGGTTAACTGTGTGTGTGTGTGTGTGTGTGTGCGTGTGTGTGTGCGTGCGTGTGTGCGTGTGTGTGTGTGTGTGTGTGTGTGTGTTGGATGTGGATGTGTGCATTTGAGGTACTGCATTTGTAAGTGCAGTGAGCTCTGTCCATTTCCAGAGTGCTTCCCTCTCCTAGGGACATATATTTAAGATTCCCACTTTAATGGGTTGTCCTTCCTCTCACTAGAGCAGGTTCAGAGATTTAGGGTGAAAGGAAACTTAGTTGAGGGAAGCATGGTGGAAGAGGTGAGTGGCAGTGTGACAGATGCAGTAGAAATTAGTTTGTAAATAGAGAAACAATCCAGCAAAGGAAAGAACTCAGTATATGTGTCACTAGGGGCCCACCTGTAAAGGAAACTTCAAAAACAGCATAGCTTTGGCAGAAGCATTTCCTGCCTTCTTGCCATTCACTCCCACTCATTGTTCCTGGCTAAACTCAGGTGACACCCCAGGAAGCCTTTCATGATCTCCTGAGACAGGGCCCACCAATCACATCATAAGAGTGCCTAGGTCCCATCCTTGTGGACAGGGACCACATGTTGCTCGGTGCCAGCTGCGGTATGGGGAATGGGAGCAGGAACAGAGCAGGGAGGGTCTCAGAATGGAGGCAGAGAGACTAGCTGGAAAGCTGTTGCAGGAACCCAGGTGAGAAAAAATGATGGTTTCCAGTAGGGTAGTAGGGGAGGGTTTGGAGAGAAGTGTTGGACAGAGATGTAGGGAGTCAAATCAATAGGATGGGGATTTATTGGAGGAGGGAAGAGGCAGGAGGTTTCTGGAAGAGCAACAGGGTGGTTAGTAGCACCAAGGGTCCTAGAAGAGGAGCAGGTTGCCAAATAGATCAGCAAAGACACATCCTATTTGAGGTGCCTGTAGGACATGCTCACAGAGAGATCCAGGAAGCAGTGCATATAAGAGCCTGAGGTTCAGGTAGGGGGAACTGGCTGGGCCTGGATCCTATGATCTACCTCTTAGTTAAATTTCAACATCAAATCCTCCAACAAAGTCAACATTTTAAAGAAACCTGGGGGGAAAGGGGGCTTGGAGAAAGGAAACCACAGAAAATATGTGTAGTATAAAAATCATGAAATTCCTGACCTACAAGTCCTAAGAATTCAGCCAAAGCAGTGCAAAGTATTCATAGAAAGAGCTGAGCACCCACCCATCCCTAAGAGATGGGGCCAACTGGCACCCATTTGTTCCATTATCTTGTTTCCATAAGCTGCTCCTGTTCCGTCTTCTGCTGAGCAAGAGCCTGCTTTTTGTCCCATCTGAGACAAGAACTTCATACCATATCAACCGCTTTCATCCTTGAGGCACCCCCTTCCACATTTCCTTTTATGGGGGAGGGTCAAGGCCCATTTACAGGAAGGGTGCAGTGCCTGGGAATCAATCCTCAGAGTCCCTACCAGAAACGCATTCTTCCTACTCAGCCATTGTGTCCCCACCTCTGCAACACCTACCCCTCTCCTCCCCACTAAGATGTGTCCTCTAGATGCCTGGGCTGCATTTTCAGCTCCTCTGTTT